GTGAGCTACAGTGTTTGTAATTGTAACTTCCGCCCTGCGTATTTCAACTTGGTCGCGCGGTAAAAGCAGATGAGTAAGTCCTGGTGGACGTGCTGTAGTAGCAATTCCAATTTCTTTCTACAGTTTTTTTCCTAAACCGGAGTTCGCAGTATAGTATACAGTACTATTGAACTTTTTAGGAAAATGAGCTCCTAAACTAGAAAGGAATGATCAATTTTGGCTGCACTCCTGTATTTTTATTTAATCCTGGTTCATCTTCCATGTCAGATAAGGTTCTTTTTCCTTACTTGGTTGATTAGGAAGGATGCTTGTGATGCGATTTTAGAAAAATGGGGTTCTAATCGCACGAAGAACACAATACAGGTGGTACCTCACAATTCGACCTCTCTCCCGTAATTCGACCCGTTTTAGCCTCTTTTATAGTGCTGTTTGCCCTTGATTTTATGGCGTGTCTTGCAATTCGACCGTAGTCCAGCAACGGATTAGGGTCGAATTGCGGGGCACCACCTGTATTCGCAGCTGCGCTATTTTTAATTCTGCTGGTGACGTAACACAAATTCTGGCTGATCCGCGATGTCGAATTAGGCTTCTGTTTCTGAATACGAATTGTTGGATAGGTTTGGTTACGCTAAAATTTGTAAGAAAAAGGGTTTTGTACTTGCATGGACAACGTGGGCTTTCAACAAATAAAATGCACCCGATGGAAGAGGAGTCAGCAGCCAAACAGCGCCCCTTTTCACTGGATAAAATTATTGTTCCCGTTAAAGTCTTCCAACTTTCTTCCTTTCTTGTGCCGGGATGTAACCTAGTTAAGTCACAGATTCTGCAGATTATATGATGGATGACTCCCCGTATTCACGCGTATTTGCCGCAAGTTTTCCGCGGAAAGTGCCCTGAGAAAATCGAGTGTATCATACTCGAACACTGAAGATATTGGAGTTAAGTCGTACTTGGGACAAAGGACGCTCTACGTAATACCTTTTTCAGACAATGTAGCTCATCTTCCGCTGATCTCTTCTATTCTTATTGGTTTCGGAAATCATACGGCATGCAAAGTGATCAAATTGGAAAAAAATCAATATATGTGGGGGAAATGTGGCCGCCGGCATTATTTTTCACGTGATATGTATATTCAAGTATCCTCAAGTATGCGTTCCTAAGGGTTTCCCCCGCTATCGTGTACATTTTGTACGGTTTATATCTATCTAGTAATTTATCACAAGATTTATGAAAGAAATCTGCGAAGGATCTAGGTTAACCGTTTTGAAAAGTTCGTAATTACCGCACCTCTGTCATGGGACTTTTCGGGGTCTGGAAACGATTAGCCAGCCATCCTATGTCATTTGATTGATTTTTTTTAATGGTGATGTAATTCGATTGAAATGATGAATTCCCTTAACCGTGTTGCCCATGACATGAAAGCAATATCCTGGCATTACCTAAGTTAAGACATAAGTGTGCAACAACTGTTTCATTTCCGACGTAAAACATGAAATTCCCCACCTCCTTGAGGTTAAAATCGTGATTATTCCCCTTATTTTACGCTATTTGGATTTTATCATGGAATTATTAGATGTTTCCTCTCAATAGATTAGATGTTTCCTCTCAATAGGACGCAATCTTCAAAAGAAAAAGGACTGTCCGTTTCGCTGTTTAGACGGCTTATTTGAAAGTGAAATTGTTCCTGAAAATGCGGGTGCGGCCTATCAGCGCGTCAATACGACAATGAGGGTGTCGCATACATCCAACGTCGCATCAGTAAAAAATCACAAAATTTGCTCTGCCAGATTTTATCCTGAATGCTTGGCGTTGGGTTCTTTCATCGTCAGTGATGGTTTTTCAGTCGCTTTTCTCCTGTCACCAATTGACGATGCTCCGCTGTGTTCTTCTCTCATTCTCTTTGTTCACTGTTAAACAAGGCCTGTTTCCCAGTATGGTAGTGCATAGTCAATTATAGTTGTAAGGTTGATGTCGGCGTTGTACTTTTTCTGGCGCAGTTTATGAAAAGTCTCGTTCGAGATCCGCGAGAGCATTAGACGTAATGGGGATGATTGTTTGGGAAGGCGGGGAATTGCGCTCGTGTGCGAAACAAAACTCCCACACTACGTAATCGGCCCGGCGGAACAAGGGAGAGCGCGTTTGGGAACTTGCGGGATGAAGGTGCGTGCGTGGGGAAGGAGGAAAAGGGGCTGCCGGAAAGACAACAGGAAAACGGCGGGAGATACGGGAGGGGGGGAAAAAGGCATCCTGGTGGGGTGCAAGTGGTTGGTGAGAAGCACCCCAGGAGACTCGGGCAGTACGTATTCATCGTTGACCGCGACAGGAACCTGGCCACCGGAACATTTGGAGAGTCTTTTAGACGGGATCGCGGGACGGGGTGCTCGTCACACCCCCGACAACTTCCGTTTTTTTTTTCTTCTGCTTCCTCTACTACGTGATGTGTCGGGTCGTGTGTTGGTGCTAAGAAGTGTGCAATCTTTTCCGCAGTGAGAGGTTATTGAAACGAAGCGTGAATGGTTGTGTCTAAGAATATGAATCTGAAGAGCAAGCCGAACATGGCCATCAAACCCGTCAAGTCCATCGGCCGGCTGAAAGGTGAGACCGTGTTCCAGTGCCTTGAGTGATTCGCAAGTGAAGCCCATGAAAATTATCGCGTCGCCTGCGGCAAGCTTTGTGGTGGTTCGCAAGTGCTCGAATTATTACCACCGACCTGTCGTTTGCCTGGGATATTACGAGAAATAAGTACCCCGTGGGAAAAAAAAACACGACTGTTTCGGGGATCTTGACAAGTTTCCTCGTCGGCGCAGCTTCGAGCTGTGAAATATTCCCAGCCCCACTGCTGCGTTTTAATTGCGTCTACGCGATGAACCCTCACCTTGACGCTGTAAAAAATTAACTCCACGATCTGAGCGAAGGAATGCTTACGAAGTGCATACCTCGTCTGAATTCGTGCTTGAGAAGAGATGGTGACATCAATTTGAGTTCTTCCCACCGTTTTCCGGTGGGATTATTGAACTGTTGGTTCGGCGGTGCGACGTGTTAGAACTCTGAAGGGAAGCACGCTGACGAACGAGAACCAAGGAGAAAATTTCCCCGTAAAAAGCAACGAGTAGCCAACAAATATATCGTCGTTTAATGGGATGTAACGGTTATCCTTAATTTTTTTTCTCTACATCGTTTTTCGAACAAGTTTGACAGGTTAAGCATATACAATATTTCAAGTATTCTCTCGCCACTCTGCAATAAATAAGGTGTCAGTCACAAGCAAGAAAAACCTAAGGTGCAACCCTAAAAAAATCATGCTAATCCTAAATAAAGAAAGAAAAAAACAGCGGAAATGTGATCCCACAAGTCAACAGTTGATTGTGATGTTCTTTCCCCCGTGTGTTTTCATCATGTAATTTTTCGAGGTTTTCGCAAAATATTATTTCCATTCCCACGTAGCTTTTGTGCGATTATGGGGTAGTTGTTTTCCGAATAGTCATCCCTTTTGTTCAGGACCTCGTCACTGTCGATCTCGACACGCGTTTGCGTGCCGTGTTCGACCGCGACATGCGTTTGTTTGCCGCGTGTCTCTTGCAAGCGACCTTCGCGAAATCGCTTCGATCTTTCGTCGCCTTATCTGTGAATGGATTGCTTTCGGAACGGAAGTTTCCTGGAGGGTCTCGTGTATTTTTTCAATCTCACTTCGCCTGCTTTGTATTAGCTTTTTTGTTTACGCGGTTGTAGACCGGGTCGAAATGGGGTTGAACCCTTGTGTGAAACCTCTACCCGGTAATCCGGGGCCTTTTTGTTATCCCACGGAGCAACAAGGTGTGTTTGGATTAGGTTCTCCAAATTTCACTCCCCCAGAAGTAGTAGTTGAGGGGAGGCTTTTCACAATTGGCTTGTTCATGTGAGTCTCATCAGTGTGGAAACGAGGAACAGGTTTCCTTCTCCCTTCATGCGGAGACAATCGCTGGATTGTGTTGTTGTGGACGGCTATTTCGGGAGTCCGAACATTTGTTCCCTTGGTGCTCTGAATGGCATAGAAGTCGCTCGGTTTGTGTCCGTAGGATATTTGCTCCAGCAAACCTCGCGGGTTTCGGACTGAAAAGCCTCTCACACCCTGCGGGTTTCGCAGTTGGCCACCCCCGCAGCCAGTGCATGTTCTCACGTGTACGCCTCGATTATAGATTAAGAGGGGAAAAATAAGTAGAGAAAAATATCAACCAGCGTCACAAAAAGATGGGTTGATATATTCATAATACTAGTACTGTACATGCATATGGCCTCTCTCACACACACATGCACACCCTCTCTCTCTCCCTTTTTGTGGCGTTGGTGCTTTTGTTGTGCGTTGAATAAAACAGCATTGAAATATTGTTCGAGGTGCTCTGCGGGTGGAAACAGGAGCAGGGCATTCAGTGCCGGTTAATTGAGGCCGGAGTTGAAAACAAAAGACCGAAGGCACCATGTGAACCCCGGCGTAAATGCTACTGTTGAAGTTTGCTTTTGACGGTCAAGGTTTCTCCACGCTCCCCCCCCCCTCCCTTTTTTTCGCCTCCAGACCCTTTGGCAATAACCAGTTTATTATCCCATTTGCGTCTAGTTCTACTTGGTTCGATTTATATCGCACCGGAATAAAAATTTTAATCGAATCTCCCGCCGCTCCTCTCGTATACCCGCGAGCATTAATCCGAGGTGAGGGTTCTGGGGAGAAAAGTAGACGATTTCGGAATCACCCCTCGTGGGAGAAAACAAAGTCCTTCATCATCTCGGAGAAGGGTTGCGAAACCGGTGATCGATGCCTTCTATTCTTCTCCCGGGCCGACAATCGGTTCGAACCGTGTCGGTTCGTATGCAGCGTTTTCACTTCGGCCCGGGATGTGCACGAAGTTTGTTCCGCAAGTTTTACGAGGGCTGTGTGATGCTGGGTTCGACTGTGATAGATTGGCGTTGAAATCACCCAGGGCCAACAGTACTCGATCTTCACTTCGTATTTGTCTTCCGTTCCGCAGATTTGCCGTCGCAAATGCCGCCTTTGACGCCGGGAACAAACACGAAGATGAACGAGGCGTTGAAAGCTTCCTACGCTTCCTGGGACAAGGAACGCGAGCGGGTCAAAGTTCCTAGAGGTGAGTGGAATTTCGCTCGAAATTTTCTATGCGCATCGAGAGCATTTCCTGCGCGTGGCAGTCGAATGCAGTGATCTCCAGACTGCGTGGCGCGGCCGCGTCGTGCACCGGTTGAAGCACCGTCATTTCTCCTCCCTTTCTTGGAAACCCCGGGCTATTTTTGTAAATTCGGCACCACCTTGAGGTGATCCTCTCCACGAGTTAAAAACACGGCACAACGCATTATTTAAATCAAGTGTCGAAGATACAGTGGTGCCTCATGAGTCATGGCACAAACGAAGCTGAACAACGAAAACGCCCCGTCCTACTCCTCTCAGAAATGGTTCACTCTACTTTGTCCCCGGAAATAAATACTGTACAAATTTTCTTAAATATAGATCAACTATGAATTTCCTCATAACCGCCGAACAGACGGCGTCGGTTTTACAAACATACAAAGCTGGATTTATTTGATTGAACATGAAACGCACTATTTTGTTAACATTGGTTCTGAAGAAACGTGAGCCATCGTTTGTTTGTTGGTTTTCAAGATTACCAAGTGAATAACCTGATTGCCTCTGACCTGCCCAATATTTCGAATATCAAGTACCTATACTTCATTGAATCTGATATTCTATAATAAAAATTTAAACTTATTCAGTTCAAGGGTATAATAGTTAAAATCCCGATTCTCGGATACGCTTGCGGAGAATAAGCTGTTAACTGCTGTATCATAATTGGAATTCATAGACTACTTTGAATCCGAATAATATTTCTGTAAAGTCTTCGCGTAATTATGCGTTTTAAATTCGCGAGTGAAGGTACCGTGCGTATCTGGTTTGAAGGAAAGCAAAATTAAGTTAATTTTAAAATTGATTGCGTCTTTTATTCGTGTGAATGCAGTTCTAAGTTTTGTTCGTCTCCTTCCGTAGCTTTCTCGGATCTCGTGTTACTAAATGTGAAGATGGCTCTTCAGATGAATGATCCAATTCGAAAAGCTGGCGAGTTATTATTTTTGAAGTGCGCTTTAAATTTTTCTCGGTTATCAACAACATTTTTACTTTTTTAAATAATGAACAAAGTATTATTTTTTGGAGTCACTAATGTATTGTACAGTACCCACAAATCCTCGCGGCTTTCTGCGATTATAAAAAAGGTGACGTGTTTAACCCAGCTAAAAAGTTTCGTCCTTGTATTGCGAGAGGGTAAAAAAAAAGAAGCGATCGGGTCTTAAATTTATTTCTAGAAAACCTTCGTTCTCATGCGGAGGGCAAATGAATCAGTAGGGCCTCCTTGTCTGGCGTCTGTTCAACGTAAATTCACACTCGGGGCGCGATTTGATTGCGATGCTCCAGTTGCGACGCCTCGGGATTCCCTGCTGGGAAAATCGGAAGCTTGGAGCCAGACGAGAAGACAAAGCCGGGTTTGGTTGGAATGAGTGCAGTATTTTTGTCCCTCGTTGAGTGAAAATGATGCGGTGCTATTTGTGGATCTGCTTTGTCACCGAGTGTGGTGAAATTCGTGAGGGAACAAAAAGTAACGCCCTGTGCAGGCACAAATGTTCTGCTGGCTTTGGTTCAGATCCGTACTCGGTCCATATGTTTTCTACCGCTCTTAATTGGTTATGTGGTCCTCGGAATTGCATTCTGTTCGTTCACACGTGTATCAACCGTTCAGCCTTAAATTTCCTCCTGTTATGTCTCACTTCCTAATACCCCGCTGAATTTACAGGCTTTGTGTCTTATCATGAGACCTCCGGAGTTGAATGGTGTCACAAGAAAACTCCTCGACGAAAAGCTCCAGTGAGAGAACCCTCCAAGGAGAAAAGCTCCCACACACAAGAAAACCCCTCGACGAAAAGCTCCAGTGAGAGAACCCCCCAAGGAGAAAAGCCCCCCCCCCCCCCCCACCCGAAATAAAGCAGCGAAATTTCATTTAATGATGTCAATTCTTTGTGATAACTTTTTGTTTCTTTTGAACCTTATCTTCAGTTTCGTAATCTCGGATATTTTTTAAAAATTCTTGCACGCACCAAAATGCAATGTACAATATAAAAATCGAAGAAAAGTTTCTGAAGAGACGGAAATTTTATCCCTTCATTGTAACAATTTCTTTATGGTTGATTTTCCTTCCGTGTGACTGCGTCTCCCTTGACAGAATATTCAAGTAACAAGCTAATCGAACACTTCATTGGACCTTTATTTCCTTGATGTAATTAACGCCCACAGCTACAATCCAAAATCTTACGATTATCCTGGGGTTGATTTTCGGATTTTTGTATGGTCATATGCTTTCCCTTTGTCTGCGTAACGCTTCAAGTTGTACAGTAAGTGTGCCAAAATGCGATGATCGACAGGAACACGTTTCAATTCGGGACGTGGATTGATGAGTTTTGATGCTAACCGACGCTGAGCCAATTGCGTCGCTGGCCGATAAGAACTGTAAGTCAGAGAACTGTTCAGACACCGAAATAATGATTGCTTTGGCCTTGCCATATGCTACTAGTTCAGGCTGTTCATTAATAAGGATCCCTGGCGCGAAGGATGGAAATTCGGGTAAAAAAGTGCCGATCCGGCGTGACCCCTCTGTTCATTTCGCTTTCGTGGTCCCGGGGCAATTAAACGGAACAAAACTTGGCCCGGAATGCCTTGGGGTGGCCATATGTCGCGATGTTTTGGGAAAAGTTCCGTTGCGCGTTTTCAAGCGGCTCGGCTTTCGAATGAAACGCCCAGCTTCCGACTGATCGATTCGCTGCCCGTGTTTGCCAGGCTAAAATCTTGATTTGCGACGTTCAACTGCGTCTCGGCTCTCTCGAGTGTCAAAATTCACACGATGCGCGTCTCATTGGGAGAACTTACATGTTTTTCTTTTATTATTATACGCGACCCTCGTTCCTTCGCGCCAGAAAGTTCAACGAAGAAGTTGTTTCATTTTCGATATAAGCGGATAGCCCACGAATCAAATCCGATCCTTGGCTAGGGTTCATCTACATATTCTACACGTTTGCGTTCGTTTTGTGTCACAATAGAACATCGATTACGAAGTACGTTTCGATGACATGGACCCATCATTTGAGATCCCAAATGATTGCCCAAGTCAACCACAGGGACGATATGAGTTTCTGTGTTCAGGTGTAAAAATGTGCAGAATATGATTCAACGACGAGAAAGAGACGCAAATAACCTTACGTCACTGACTTACGTAGGGAAAGTTGATGAGGGCATTAAGGAAACATGCTTTTCTTCTATATTTGGGGACATTTTGATAATTTTACGTCAGGTTATGGTGGTATGATTTATGTCTATCCCGAGAGTAACAGCTTTTTTTATTTGCCCATCGGGAATATTTGATTATTCGGACTTTAGAATCAGTCCACATAATTGAAGTAATACTCTACAGGGATATGTAAACAAATAATTGTCCCGACGATCGTGCTTCTCGGCAAGGATTATTGCTGCGTTGACGGGAGTGAACGCTTCATTGTATCCATGCCTCGGTGAACATTTTAATTTTATTAAGAACCGATCCAAGGCTATTCCCGTGATTAATTGTCCCTCCTTCCTGGTGGAGATTGATGCTTGATAATATTACCTTCATTGTGGTTTCATGAACTTGAAATAATTTCTAGATGTATTTCACGACTAAAGTAATAATTGTACATTATGTGAATAAATTTGTAAGTCAAGAATTATTATAATAACTTTGAATTGAGCCTCAACACAAGTTTTTAAGAATTTGCTTGAGACTCCGAGGCTTAAATTGCCTTGGCGATATTGTGTGCGATATCCAAGCTTCTGTTACTGTAATTCACTACGATATACGTATACCGGGCGGTTGGGTGATGAAGATACGACCCGCCGAATGGCAATATTGTATTTTTAAAATGAAAAAATATTGAGCGAGGTATGTTGGGAGGTAATCTCTATTCAAGTTAATGCGGTTATCAGTGTGGTGTAAATGCCTGTGTGAATGAAGACAATCCAATTGTTCTTTCATTGGGTCTTACTATTGCCTGAGGTTGCCCACTTGTTTCGTGAATTGCTCTGTACTTGTTCAATATGAGGTAAATTGTGTTATTTTTTCATCTTGAGCTCAGGTGGAAGCCGGGTTTTTTCTCCGATGCGAGATGTGTGTAACTAAGTAATTTGAACAGAACTCCCGGCGAGTGGTTCCCGTCAGTGAAGGACGTCGGATGCGTTGCGACTCATTTTCTGAACGCGGAGCAGTGTGCTCTTATTTGTACATGCGTTGCGTGCGTGTTCGTGTTGTATCCAAACACCAAGTGTAGGGAATGTTGACCCTGGTTCCAACAACCGAGATTTGAAGTAATTTCGACTGAAATCCCTTGCGCTCGGTCCGATTTAAACGGCAAGCTCGGTTGCTCGCCCACCCCGCAATACAACCGGCCCTGAGCCCGCATTCACCATGTCTTACTAGTCTTCTGGTCCGCTCAGCCCTGAGTCCCTCTTCGAATTTGTCACGCATCTCGCTCCTGATGCTGACTCTTTATAATTTGACCGTGATTATACGTATCGCAAGAAGGTCAGGTGCTTTCCGAAGTCGGTCGAGGGGGGAATTGCGCGCAGCGACGCGGGTTGTTCGTTCGGGATCCGTGCTTTTGTACGCCAAGACATACGTGTGATAACTAATGTTGGCCGGGTTTTGTGTTGCTTGCGACTGAAGCCCAGAAGCCAGCTACCAATTAATTCGAGCCTTGCAGACAATCACGGACAGGTGGAGAGAGACTTCGAGAGGATTTATGTGAATCCGGACCAATTACCTTGAGCGGAACGATGGATTCAAATCTTGGACAACGTTGGAAATCTTCCCCCGGGCTCCCACGGGTGTTCCTCGGGGTCAGAGGTGGCGTGCTGGAAAAATGTTCCCCAACCGCGTTGGACTCTTGACAGCGGTTGAGGAGCTGCGCCTGGGATTGTTTTGGGTGGTAACTTTTTCTCATCTCGCGACTTGAGATTTATCGAGCTTCTTTTCTTTTTTATCCGCCGACTTAATTCCCTCGGATTACGTCCATCCGACCCCCCGACGGGAGCTCATTGCCATGTTCGGTTTCTAATTCCACAGACTTGTTTCCCCAGGCTTCGTCTTCATTGTATCTTGATTGAGATTGATCGCATAATCGATTATGCACTCTGTGCCGCCGTTTGCAGCAGACGAAACGTTGGCTCGATAGTTCCGAGTGTGGTGCTCCCCTTCGCAGAAACCGAGACTGTTCAAATTGTGATTTCTTCCATGTTTAACGGTTTATCATATTCATCCACGAAACTATGGAGTGCTCTTATCTTATTCTATCACCTCGATTCGTCAAGTCGTGGGAATTTTTTTGCTCTGTTGTCTTGTGCTTTTCGCATCTTCTAAGAATTACAAAAAGTGTCAATGCTCAAACGAACCTCTTCAATTCTTCGTCGCTCAAAGCATGGCATATTGCACTTTTGGGGACTTCACGTATTTACTCGTCCGTGTGTGAGACGCGCACCCGGAATTTTACCAGCGAAGATTCATGTGCGTATCCTGTAAATGTGGTGAATTAAATGCACACAACAACTTTTCCATCTGATTTTCTTAGTTCAATATTCCTTCAAGTTTCGTTCAACTATGTACATGTGGAAGAGCTGAATTTGGACTTCAATGTTAGATCAGTCATTCGATCTAAATCCCAGTTTTCAAAATCGACGGTTTTGCGTTTTGAAATGGGAAAGACGCGTATCGAAGTTCCTACCCGTTTTCCACGCGCATCACTGATTTTATAGATGCAAAAAGGAAAATATCTGATGCGTTTTCCCGAAAAGCCCGCGGTAGTTGAAAGAACAAAGAGATATTATACTTAACGTGATACAGTACACGAGTGCCAAATAGAAAGAGTGAATAGGATTACGTTATTACAAGTATTTGAAAATATAATTTCACGATGATAATAGCCATGTGATGGGAAAACCATATTTGCCTTCGCAAGAAAATCGGATTTTGTATTCCAAGATCAATTCCTCATAAACCGCACGCAGCTTTCAATTTGTTCGGGAATGCTTGATCATGTCAAGCATTTCCATGCGTGTCACGCGCCCAATTTTTCATCCGTTTATTTTTTAATCTCTTTGTGACACGCTCCATAATTGTTACCAGAACCAGGGAAAATTCTCTTCAAATTATGCAGCATATTTATTTAGATCATTACATGCGCACACCGACTTTTCTCTTGTCAAATTTGGGGAAGAAAATATGCTCATGGAAATCGAGTAAATACGACTAGTGATGCCGTAATTCTCAACTCTGATGGGTGGTTCGGAAATGAGTGTCGGGGTACTTCTGATGAAGAAAAATATCGTTATTATTTTTCCGGGAATAAGCAGGACGAGGGGGTTTCGTTCTGTAGGACGGTGCTCCGGTGCTTGACTCCGTGTTTCCGACGCAGGTGCGGACTTAATGATAGTTACCTCATTCGCGCACCTCCCCCAACGCGTCAGATGAAACTTTTTCAGCGAAGGAGCGTAATAATTCACGCTCAATGAGAGTTTGAGAGCGCATGCTATCCTCCGTGGCTAATCGGGCCTTCCTAAGAAGCGGAGAAATTTGTGTTCTCCCCACCCCCACGAACTTTTCGTTGCGAAAAGAAAACGTTTAGGGTAAAATTGAGCGCTCTCTTTGCGGTTGCGTGCTGGTTGTTCAGGCCTAACCGCTGGAAACTTCCTGCACCTGCTCGGGGCTCTCCAGCTTCTTGACCTTTTTTTTTTCGCGGAGGGGAGGAGAATCCGCGGATATATGCTTGTTGTTCAATTTGACGCCCTTTCCTCTCCTTAGCCCCCCGTACTTCGTTGTTGATGAATTCTTCAAAGCCTCCGAATTTCTGCGAGCTAAAAATGCGTGCTCTCCGAATTGTTCGCAAATTTTCCAGTTGGGCGATAATCATCGTTCTTCGCTGGTAGTGTTCCGTTTTTATTGAGTCCCTATCCTATTTGTTTTTTCTTCCAATGCGTACACAGTAGATTGAACTTGTCTTTTAATGCATGTAGTCTTCATTGTTTTATCGTTTCCTGAAAACGGTAATCTTGAGTCGTGAGCTCGTGACACAAGAAAATCGAAGGTTAGCCAGCAATCTTCTCTTTCCGTGGGGTTTCGAAGCTGCATGTGCTGATTCTCAAATAGATTTTCGTATGTCTCGGGAATACGGTTTGCATATATATTTTCATTTTTATGAAAGTAAATTATTCGTAATCGTAACCAACAAGCAACTTGGAAGGAACCCAGCGATTCTGTCAACATGTCAATCAGTGATCATTTTTCTATGATCAATATTTGGTAAAATATGGTCCCCCGGGCATAATTCCCGGAACATTCTAAATAAGTAAAACCAAGTTGTTTGAACCGGATCGCGTAAATTTAGATTACAGTAGGTTAACTACAATTGTTTTGGTGAACCGAAAAATCGAGGAAATTTTTGTTCAATGAATCATGAATTACAGTACTACTCGTACTAAACAGTGCAACTCGTTGTATTTTGGCTTGGACGATTCGTGATCAGATTTGTACGTAGAAAAACTTCCTTCGGTTTTCTTTTGAGTCTCAGGTCGTTCGACGAGAAAATGTCTGTCGAGATTTGCGGGAATGTCAAGAAGGCACTCGAGTTATTGTTGATCATGATATTTTTCTACTCTTCTGATCATGATTTCAAATTTTCAATTCTGTAATTTATGTACTTATTTTGGTATTCGATGATCCGGCCAAATGAAGTTATTATTTAAAAGGATCCAGAGTTCAGGTGTAGTTCATGTCTGCGAAACTCCTGAGTTCAAGACCGAGTCGAAGTTTTTCAAAGTGTGCTTGGCTTGGCAAAGCCGTTCGAAGCAACGTTGCAGTGTGTTGCCAGGTGTTATAAAGTTAGCTGTAGCCCTAGGAGTAATTTCGGCCTTGTGCATAATGAGTGCAGTTCGAACGGGCGTGTTTTATGGCGGCCACGAAACGTTGATCGTCTCAAATTCGCGCGATGCTCCCCTGCGCGTTTCATGGGTTTCGGGCGTGCCGACTTGATGAGTTCGGGGTTACGAGGCGTGTGCGGGAGGCTGTGGTACCTGATGTAGCGACGTTAATGGTAGCACGAGGGAAATCTTCTCTTTATTTTCTCTTTATCTCCCTCCGCGGCAGCATTCTGAGGTCATGTTTTGCCACGCGCCACATGTTGTCGGCGAGGTTCTTTCGTAGCAGGTGAGAGGAGAAGGGTGTATTTCGTGTGGTTTCCGAAGAAGTCGAGGGGGTTTTAGCGCCCACCTGACGGTTGACGTTGTTTATTTCCGACCTTGTGGCAACAAGCAGACGCGCGAGGGGGCTTTGAAGTGTCCACATTAATTCCCATTTTGGCGCTTGTGTGTTGATCAGGAAGTCCTTTGCTTATTTTTTTGCAGATCCCATGCAGTGGACTGACGCACATGTCGCCCAGTGGCTGCTGTGGGCCACTCGAGAATTTTCACTGGAAGGTCTCCAGCCGGAGCTTCTCTTCATGCCGGGCAAGGACATGTGTGCCCTGGGTCGAGAGAAGTTTCTTTCCCTAACACCTCCTTTCATGGGTGACATCCTTTGGGAGCATCTCGACATCCTCCAGAAAGGTACGTGCTTGCCCCGCCGATTACTGCGTTTGTCCAACTATATTCTGCACCCGGGGGTGTTTTAACCATTTAGAGAGTAAACACAAACTGCACGGGCCGCGAAACATTTTTACATATTCGGTGACGAAAATGCGGCCTACTCATTAATATATAGACAGGAATTGGTCTGTGAACTTCTCACCAACACGTTCCCACACCCAGAGAGATTATCTTGCTCTCAACTAAAAGTCAGGAGGTTGCGAACTCAACAATGTTTTAACTTTTCACGATTCACACGTCGAGGGAGTTTTTGTTCCTTCTTTGAAAACTCGACTCTAGCTGTCTTCGAATGATTACTGGGCTTTGGAAAGAGAAAACGATAGAAAAATTATTTATTTTCAAGAGGAGGATGCAATGAACTTCTCGCGAAGGGAAACTCCCGGCGATTGATTGAAAAAGCTGGGCTATATTTCATGATTGAAGGAAATTTGGAATTTTGTAGCTGGATTTTACTTCTTTTTCAGACCTTAGCCCTGCGTAAGCTCGAGTTCAGAACGTACGCATTTTGTGTACGTAAATTTTGTTTTCGCAATTGCATTTTTTAATGATTTTCTTGTGATCCTAGTTCTTTCCTGTGTTAGAAAAAAATACCGTAAACACATTTTCAGGGTACATTTAGAACAGTTAAAAATACCGTAAACACATTTTCAGGGTACATTTAGAACAGTTGAATGTTGGAGAGATCAGGGTTGATCGCTTGATCCTGTGAATATTTTTTAAAATCAGAGGTTGATATTTTAGAACTTCGAAGGAAGATCAGTACTGCTCTGTTTGCTGTGAGAATTTCCTCAATTTCGAGTTCGTTACCTTTTCGCGAACGAAGGCTTCACTATGTTTTCTTCTGAAACGCTGTGTGGAATCCAGTGGTGTCCCTGGGAAAGAAGTTGCCAGAAGCTTCTGGGCCCGGAACTAATGTCGCCTCTTTTTCATCGAGGATGAACTGCAAGTACTGCTTTGGTTTGTACCTTGCTTAAATTACTGTACTGTACTCACGTTCGGAAGCCGGGATTTGTCGTGGAGTCGATTGTTTTCCTTATTAATTTTCGACGTGCAGGAAAACAGCCAAGAAAACCCCTGTTGTTCAGCAGTTCCGAAAATGCGTATGAACTGACCAATAAAGCCAATTCTTGCGGTTCAAATTCGAAGATGTCGTTTTAATTTTCCCCGCTTTCAGTTGAAAAAGAATATTGGGGCGGGATTTTGAGGAGTCCGATGGTGAAGGATGCAGGTCGTACGATTTCCAGAAGCACTTACTGTAGTTGGAACGGTCCGGGATTCTCTCCAAATTATGTTATATTGAGCTAGAAAAACTACCTTATGCCCTGTTTCTCGATCATCTGAACCTTGTTCATGGTGAGACTCGAGTCGAAATCAGTCAATTTTTCGGAATTTACGTTCTTTTGAACGCCGAACATTTGTTGTTGCGAGCTGGCGTCAGAATCGCTACGCCAGTCGATCTTCTCGACGCTCTTCGTTGTGTGGGGAATTACGCGTCGTCTTTCTCAGTACACCTATGTACTGAATGGTGTCACGTCCTTGTGGGGACACTTATCGCGTTTCTCGACTGGCCACTGGTTGCTGAGAGTGCTGGGAGCTGATAGGAAGACGCGAGCAATCGCTGTCTGGAGCTGCGTAGGAGAAGAAACCCGAGTGTTTCTTTGCGCGGAGCAGCGTCAGGATCCCACAAGTGTGCGGACATGGACGTCGCGGACAGCGGACAATAAAAAGGTTAATTAGAGGGATTAGCCCCGTGATTGAAGTGACCTCCCGACGATTGTCATTCGTCGCGAGTGGAGCAAGTGCTGACGCTTGATCCCATCAGGACCGTGCAAGCGGGGGAGGGGTCACTTGGCTTTTTTCCTATTTGTATTGTACCGCGGCTTTTCACTGACGCGTATAACAACACGAAGCGAGAGAGCGAGGACGGTGAAGCGGAGAGAAATTACTCCTACTGCGGACTCCACCCGTTTTTGTGTCAAAGTTGCGAGGGAAATACTGAGACTGGAAGAGATGGAGACAAAAGATTCCCTGCCCGGGAAACAAAACGAAAAAAAAAGAGATCCCGCTGTGAAGGAGCCCGTGAAATGTGCAACTTCCGGCGATGCAATTCATGTGAATTTTAATGTAGTTTTATGCATGCCTGCGTGCGTGTGTCGGGAGTATGTGGTGCAGAATCGGCACCGTTGGTCGTGTCGACCAAGTTCGGCTCAATCTGTCCGGTGACGCGTCTGTCCCGCGTGCTCTCCTCCCATCGGTGCGGAGGTTAGTTTTCCACGGCGCGACTTTTCATGTGTTTTTTCGACTCTCCCCTCGGCTTTTCCATTCGGCATACTCCGGGTTTTTCTTCAGCGTTCCTTATCAAAATCGTGTCGGGTGTGCTGGAGAGAGGAGAGGAGGACGCGAAGTCGGCTGGAGATACATTCGCAATTTTCGCGTTCACGGGTTGATTCCTGGCCTCGCATCATCCCGCTCTCCGCATTGCACTTTTCGCTGCGTATCCGATCGCCCCCTCCCCCTTCGTTCAATTCCAACGTTGCCACGTATCATATTTTCTACAGGGTGATCCTCGCTCTACTAGGCCCACAAAAACGCGAATATCCCGGGGTTTTGAAAAAATATACGGTATAATCATTGAATTTGTGTCCCATGGGGGTGGGACGGTGTGGATTGAAGGAGGAAAATCTTACATCAATCCAGCGAGTGTTCAGTGCTTGTACAATGAATAAAATTAATTATTTTGGCGTACAGGGTAATAATGGAAAATCCAAATGTCCATCGCTGGTACTGTACATACAAGACGCACTCTTTTCGCAAAATTATGCCATGTGCCTCGTGCGTGACTTGATTGTGATGGAATATTTTATTCGCATGCAAAGTGCGCGATTGCTTCCGACCAACGAAATATTTTGATTTTCAACTTTCATTGATAAATTTACCAATTCTTGGCAATATTTTTCGCGTCGAACGCTTTTTACAGTCCTGTAGTTGAATATCGTTTACCACGTTGAAAGTTTTCAGAGAGATGACGCATATTTATATTCAAAATCGTTTTTTGATTCTGTAAAATGGGGGAGGGCGTTCAATAAGATTGCGTTTTACACTCTATAAGCTCGTGAAATGTTTACTAATTTTTTTATGCAGAGAAAAGAGCGATGCTACCTAAAACCGATGATTTCGTATATCCGATTAAATACGCTCACATTAATCAATCAGATCAGTTTCCTGAAGGTTCATGAATTCACGGTCCACCTCTCATGTTCACGGGCACTTTTCGTTGTCCTGAATGTTCCACCAACTTTCCAGGCACGATTATTGTACGAGTTCCGAAATGTTGCGGAAAGAAATTATCCTCTCGCTCGTTAAGAACATTAGTGCTTGCTTGAAACATTAAGTCTTTATTTTTTACCCCCTTCTTTGTCACCGTCTGTTTTCGAAAATTCCATTATCATACCCTCAAACCTCCGGAGGATAGTAATGTTTTTCAGTGTTCTAGTATCGCGTGGATTACCCGACAGGACTGCACCTTGCATGACGAGAAAAAAGAATCTCGGTGCGGATGTCAATTAAAGTATAATGCATCACGAATCCCTTTTAATTGGACCGTCGAATATTGGTTTTGACGAAGTTGCAGAGCAATGTTGCTGCTCTACGACATCCGCCGGCGTCGATTTCATTGTCGGCACGAGTGTGCGTATTTTCTGAAGCCGGCAGGACAAACGCTTGCATCGGAGCAATAATCGTTTCATGAGGACCCGAGCGAAGTAGTTTATACGGCGATCGTACTTGAATCTACATTTCGATGCATCAGCATCCTGTCTTTTATCGTGAACATCTGACCTTATGGTCGATAAAGCTGGCGTCGGCTAATGCCTTTTCAGCGTTGTCTTTTTTCTCTCGAAGTTTCTAAGGCTTGACAAAATTGTGGAAGAAGGGTTTTATTAGAAGATGGTCATGTCGAGAAAGCTTCTTAGTTGCGTTCGAATCTTCGGATCGAACTTCAATCCTCGTGCCATTTTTTTCCCCGAATCGCGTCAACGAACTTCGTTGACGCCGTCATGCTCGAGTGGTTGCCTGATGAGCCTTTCATGTGGGAATTTCTTTTGCGTAAGTTCTGCGAATTTCATGCCTCGAGTAGCGAAAGTGATATTATCGTAGTGAGTGATTTGCATGCTTAGTGAGACTGTGTATGGAATTGAGTGAGGAACATGTGTGTTTTGTTCGCGAGTACGGAATTAACACGATTGTAGGCCGCAGCCCGAGTTCCGGCAGCCATTCAAAGGAACGAAAAATTCTTGAGATTTTGCAGCGAGGATGCGACAAATACATGCTTGAAAATTAATTTGATTTGAATTATGATCTCCCTTTGAAAATTGAATGACTCGAACCATATTCTATATTGTCGAGTCTTGAATCAATAAAATACCTCACCAAAAAAACCTGCCAAGCAAATTGGGAATAGAGCGGATGGAAATCTTTCGAATACCCGACAGAATTTTTGTCTGCCAGATTTTCGTGGTCATTATATCTCATCTCAAGTGTAGACCTCACATTATATTAAATGCGACCTATCATCGAGTATTCTAGCAGAATACTATACAGTACTGTGTGTTGTTTGTTATGTAAGTCCTTGTTTCTACTGCTGTTGGCGAATCCAACGATTGCGGAGACGTTAGAAACGCCTGTAAGAAGAATAAAAATAAATGATGCTGGAGGCAAGTTACCTGCGTGGGTGGGGCTGGTAAATTTCTCTTTCGGCTCCTTCCCATGACTCAATCTATTATTTGATCAAGCTTGAGGTTGGAATTCGATTAAAGCGCCTACTTGCCGACTTGAGACAATTCCCAAGCGCCACGCCGCGGAATTCTCGCGGTCCTCGCTTTCGATCGCCGAAAGAGTGCGAATAGTTTTCGACGCGAACAGCTTGAAGTTTGTTTGTCGTCGTGGTCGATGGTGGAAATCGCAATGGAAGACTAGTTTTCGCATTCCTTCTTCCTGTTGACAACGCTTGAGCAATCCGCTGCGAAGTTTGTGTTTGATTCGCGTAAATTCGAGAAATCCTGTCCCTAATTTTACGAGCGCGGGAACGTTTGCTTGAAAGTCATCCCGGAAATCGTGCTAACAGTATCCTCGGTTTTCCCGAGAAAACATTTAACCCACATTTTTTTCCCCTCGACTGAGCTTTGGTATGAGTCTAGTCAACTTACGATTGATTCGCATCAGGCGTGCTTGGGGTTAAAATTTAATCCTGTTGATATCCGGAGAATGTTTCTCTGTTTGCCGACTTGCCTGGTTTTCCGTGATCCCACTTTAATCAGCGGTATCGGGTTGGCGAGGAGTCAATGCCGAGCAAGCCGACGGGGTCCTGCGACCGGGATCTGTTTGCTCTGATTATTGGCTGACGGGGTGCGAGAGGAGGCTGCCAGGGGGCGCGTCGCTTTCGCCGCCGCGGTGCAATGCGAGATGATGAGGCTGAGATTTTCCTCGCACTGGACCGGACATGGCGAGCTGGGCGGCGAGCTCGGATCCCACGCCTGACTCCTCCTTTCGTCTCCGAAGCATCCTTTTGTTTCTTCTCCATCTTTCTTTCTTCCTTCCTTCTCCAGGTGCCCGGCTCTCTATTGCCTGATGGTTCCACGGGCATTTGCATTCTCCGGGGTTTCGGGTTTTCCCTCTGGGTCGCGATGCCGAACTGCCCATCGAACACGGGAGGGGAAGTCGCACGTGGCGGCCAATTGCCCGGCTTCCGTTTGCGTTGTTCCGAGCAACCTGCGCGCGTCTCACGGATTTTGGGAAAACCGGATCACTTTCCAGTTTTTTATTTCTTTTTCTGGTTTTTGAAAAATGGCATCCGGTTGCATTTCTCGGAGGAAAACGTTGAGCGAATGCGCTACGCTTTCTGGTCTCCACGCGCTCTGAACCCTAGATGTACATTTTTGGAAATTTGGATAAGTCTGATGACTTGTCTACCCTGAATCAATTATAGCCGTTCTGTTTATTGACCAGCTTTGCTTGTTTGCATTTGTCCAGTACCGTCCTTCTCAAATGCCTATTTAACACGTAAGCGGATTCGTTTGGTGCTCGGTCGGCTCCACGTTATCAAAGAATTTTCGTTTTGAAAGAAGTCGGTACACAAATAATTTTAATAGGACTTTTGTCCGTTTTTTTAGTACTTCTGTAGCGGTGTTTCTGCCCTGATGAGTAATTGTCTTCGTATTTGTTCGTTGCATGCATTTATTGACTAGAAATGATCCGTCTTCGCCACACTAGATCGGAAAGCACTTGATTAGTGCAATGAATTCCCTGAAAAAAATTGCTGCCGGTGCAAACAAATCACGCGAACATGGCTCGAGTACAAAAAATTAAGTGAGAGCAAGTTCCGGATAGTTTGATGACTTTATCATTAAAGTATTCTTTATGCGTGTTAGCTCAAAATCGGAAGGTGGTAACCATCTGTTTTCTTGTTGATAACCAAAAAATTTGTTCATGGGTGCTATAAAGTTATTCTGTCGTCTGCTGTACCGGAGAGGCCCTAATTACTTCTGAATACGTCCCAACAAAGATTCGTACCGGAATGAAATGCTGATATCAATTCATTCTCTGAAGCACACCGAAGAACTTCGCGTCACGTTAATTACGAAATGCTTGGTTCGTCGTGCTGTTTTTTATGGATTTAACACGTAAGTCGATTCTTGATTGAAATTTATTTATTACGTGAGACCCCTTTTATGAAGAAACTAGCTCCTGAGTTTCGTGTCTGTACAAGCTGGTGTGTCGATTTTTCCTTTGGAAATGTGGAATCACATCGAAGTCATTCAAAGATATATTTTGCATATATTACTGATCAGGATCGTGTATGGTTTAATTTTCGGTTTCTTTGAGTTCATTTTGGTTCCTCTCGTTTTCACTAAATTTTGGGGAAGAAAACGCTGTCTTCAATTTCGCCGAGTCGTTGGAATTCTATTTTGTCGGGAAAGTATTGTATGACGGTTTCGCTGTATGTATTGCAGTGCGAAGCTGCGGTGTTATCCACCGAAATTCCGTCAAATGATGTAAGATCTCGTTCGGACTGAATAATCAGTGATAAAGTGTTTCTTAGGTAAATAATTTCGTAAAGAAATACTGTAATTTGTTCCTGTGCATATTGATCAGTAACGTGGAAGCGTGGTTTTCTTCACTTTAATTTTAGTTCCTCTGGTTTTTTGAATTTTGGGGACAACGATTGAGTCATGAATTTCGTCAAGCTGTCGCAATTTTATTGGAAGATGAGATCGAATACGGTATATACCGTACTAGTGATGTAAAATTTTCGATCAAACTTTTCATCAAATGATCCAAGATCACGTTTTGGCTTGATTTTTCCTCAGCTGAGTTTTTCGTGACTATGGAACGAATTTGGTACGTGTTGAAAGAGGAATACCTGCGGATAAATTGCTTCTTGGATACGTTGGTCAACAATTCCGATTGCTACTTATCACGACAGAGGAGTGGGTCTGCTGCAGTGTTCTTCACATTTATTTTAGTCCCTCTTTATTTTTTTCTGCATTTTGGGGGAGACAACGCAGTCATCAATTGCTCAGACGTGTCTGAGAAACGTGACGCGATTCCGTCGGTATCGTCTCCAGGGACTCGCGGGGGGTGAATTATCGATACAAACGTTCGAGAACGCAACCGATTCTCGGCCGTAATATCCGCAGCCATTCACGGGTGCACAAAGGCAGCCTATGGTGCGTTCATGGCCTAGCGGCGCATGCTATTTGTGTGTCAACTGCGCTTAAGCGTGTGAAGGGTGTCTAGCGCGGATTAGCTCTTTTTTTTTTCCCCCGTCTCCTGTGAACAAGGTTTCACACGCTAAATCACAGTTCGGTTGATCTCCCCGCTGGGACGTTGCAAGATCCTTTCAAGCGTCCGTGATTCCACTCTCCCTCTCGGGAGCCTGGGAAGGCTTTCTTGACCAGGGAACTTGCAGCTACTTTTTTTTTTATGCCTGGGTGGCCCTGCTTTTTGTCACCTGACGCTTTTCAGCACGAAATCTATCGTCCCGGCATAAGCTTACTACTGTATGTTGCGAATTTAATGGAGGAAATTCCATTTCGCAGATTTCCTTCCTTTTTAGATCGGCGCGCCTTTTTTCGCCCTCTGTGAAACATGAAACTCGACAGGGCGTGAATGGTTGGAAATCCGGGCTCCTGACGGAGAACTCGTCATTCGAGTTGCGTTTTGTCGAATTAATGTATTTTTCGCTTTTTCTTCCGGAATGGGGGTTGCAGATATCGATAAAGATCGCGAGCGGGCATTGCTAGGAAACGTGCCACCGAATCTGTACGAGTCCAACTGTGCCCCAGACTTCAACGAATTCCTGGAAACAAGTCAGTCAGACGACGATTCTGAGCCTTCGTCGGGCACATCGAGGGTCAATGGCGTATCCCTTGCACGGACATCCTACTCATCCAACAGTTCCAGTAACGCTGGTCAGATCAGCACCCCCGACGGCAGTGTAGCCAGCTCCGTGGGCTCCATGATCGGTAAGCATGCTTTTCAATCTTCGCAAGACTTGGAGCCCTGAAGTATCGTATTTTGCTGCACTGTATATTCCCAAGCGCTATGAATTACGAAACACATTTCCATGTTGCCATCTTGTCAAGCCTTACGGATAGTCCCAGCCTTAAATGAATTATATTTTTAAAAATCGGCAATTTGTTTCTGTTTCTTGCTTGTTACCCGCCTAAGCTCCTGTCACGCCGTCAACAAATATCAGAATCCCGGCTCGTTTGTCTTTAAACTAGATGAATCCGCCATGATTTGTTCAATCGAATTTGAATATTTTGTGTTGATCGAAAGCATTTTTTTACTGGTGAACCAAGACGCTATCTGAAGTGTAATGAACCGTGAATTAGGCATTTTTTTTGGGGAAAAAATTGCATTCTTATAAATCTGATTAGATCAAATATGCCATCGAACGCCTGAAAGCCACGAACTTAACGAAAAATACGTCATTGTTGAGTTATGAAACATTGCCTTGTTTGTCGAGGGGTGTGATGATGAGGATAATGAATAAATGAATCAATTTTGTATTTTTCCGACTGGTGCACCTACCTATTCGAATTTAATTGACTAGTTGTAATTTTGCATCGCTCACGTTCGAAGCGTAAAACAGAAGATGAGCAATTGAGCGGACATTAAGCCATAGGCATTATATCAATGCCTCGATTATGTAGTGACACTGCGAAGGATGATGAAGCGCAAGAAGAGCACGGAATTGTATCGCTTAAATATTGTGCGGTAGCTAGAAGGTTCTTTCAAACCTGAGAAACCCTACGTGAAAAATAGTGCAGTAGTATATTTAGATGAGAATTAACACATTTTGCACTGAGTCGATATAATCTATAAGTACGCCATGAATTCAGTCCGCAAAAGTGTCTAATACCAAGTTACTTACCCGTGGCATCGAATTGATGATCAAAAAAGCTTTAAAAAACATATGCCGTGCCCGAACCGTGGGAACAGATTGGAATTGCCGGGTATCATTTTTTTTGTGTATCACAGTATTTTTTTTCCTTTCGCACAGATCGTGGATGCTTTATACAGTACCTCATTTCCTTCCTCGTGTCTATCATTTTTATTGATGAAAGCAACGTATATCGCGTGTACATTATTTACTTCATAGCAAGGGCCTGTGGTTCAAAGAAAGTAGAATTTTATGAAAATTGGTTTGTGCAGAGCGTTTTTTTCTGTTTTACAATTAGGTTTCAATACTACGTGATACTTTGTGCCCAAGAGTTGGAGGGTCTCCCATTGATTCGCAAAAGAAACAGTTAGCGTTGGTATTCACTTTTCGGCGATCAGCAGCGTTTCAAAGAAATACGTCTGAAAAATAATGAATTTAAGAAAAATTTGAATAGAGAAAGGCCGAATAAAGCTTCACTACGTTCACACTGCGGAGTGAAACGGTCTCCTTTCATATAAGATCCAGGCGAAAAAAATGTGCGTCCCACCCCATTCCTGCACCGTTCCTATATTAGCTGCGCCAAATGCAGTGCTGTTGATGCACACATCACACATTCATGCTTTATCTTCTTTTTTTTTTGCGCAGGCGCACCCTCGCCATCCCCTTCGGAAGGGGTAGTCCCAGTTGACCAGAAACCGTCGCCTGCGACACTGCACCAGCACATGCTCGGCGCATCGTCGCCTTCGCCACAAATGGCGCCCCCTTCGTCTCAGTCAAGCCGGCAGCACACGCCCACGGCGCACCCGACGCTTCAGCACTCCCACGTGCATGCCCATCAGCAGGCCCCGAGCCCCGCAGGGCACGCACCTCTCCAGCAGCCCGGATCCCAGACCCCATTGCTGCAGCACCATGGTCTTCAGCACCCACCTCAGCAACCAGTCATCTCTTCTGGCCAGTCCTCCTCCAACTTCATTCCAGGTCAGACTCCTCTTCCGTCTACCCTCATTTACTCGAGTACAGTACCACTCTCCATTTCCCCCCGTATACACAATAAAAGACTTAATCAAACCTATATTTGTCGATAATTTCTTCCATTGTAGCCTGGACTTCTTGCATATCAAGTAGCATTTTAGAAAAGCCATTCTTCGTCAATTGACGCGAAAATGGCCGGAACTGTACCAGAACACTTTTCTATGGCAGTCAGGTCTGAGACAAGTATTTGGTTGCGTTTTCACCTATTCGGCTGGAAGGAAATGTTTCCCGAATGGTCTTGTCGGCATGAAGTCGAGCCTCTTGTTCAGGGCCGCTTGGTATTCGAGTCATCCCACGCTAATGTACCCAAACCTTACCCCTTGGGGGGGGGGGGGTGGAGATGGCGTACTGCGTAGTCAAGACTGGACTGTCTTTTATGCCCATTGGTTGTGTTCAATGGGTCGTACACTTCTCCAAGACTAAATGATACGAGGGAGTCGGTACGATCTGAATTGTCATAAAAAGCAGAATTGGAGAGCTGTGCAATATTGCTACTGACCTTTTCTTCACTTTCACTAAATCTGAGCCACCGTTGTGAAATACGATGTTGATCGTGGACCAGGAAGCTTTTGTTCTGGCTGAAAGCTGGTGATAGAATGAGGTCAGGAGGTGACGCGTAAAATCTTGAGGTTGTGGGAAGTTCGAACCCCGCGGTGTCAGGAGAGGGGAGGGGGGTGGAAACGAGTTTTTATTCTTGATTAAAAAGCACGCAATGCACCCGCGGGTTGTCGAGCCGAGGGATCCCTGGGCCGTTGTCGCGGGATCCCATCATCCGGGTGACGGGATAATAGGTGCGACGACGAACCCGGGTGCGGCAACGTCAAGAGCGGGTGCGTGCGTCGGAATCGGCGGATGAACGCCCGCGTCAACCGCCGACTTTTTCCTCGTGGCCCATTTCGATGCCTTGTTTTTTCCCATGACTCGTGTCGGAACCTCGTCGGCTAACCTCCGGTGATCCCCACGCTGACTGACCTGCTTTGGCAAATGGTTGCCGACTCGCTGAAAGTCGGCGTGGAGCCTAAAGGTAATCCCAAGGGAGGACCGCTCGCGACTTATGATATTATTGTGGGTAATGCGCGCCCGCGACGTGGAATTAAAGTCATGGATGAGTTTGAAAAGGTTGGGTCGGAGCGTGAGAGGAAGGACCCCGAGGTGGCAGGGGTTATGGTGACTCCGGCACGGATGAAGCGGGAATCTTGGGAAAGGGCACCTGCATTCTCTCGATTCGCCCGCTCGCTGAACACCGGGGGCACGTATTTTTGCTTTCGGATAATTTGCTGCTCCTGTTAGATGCGCCCTATACAGTTACACGAGGCATTCTCCTTTCATTCTCCGAGGTTTTTATTTTCTCTCTATTATTATTTTTTGCTCATGTCCGTCCATTATTTTATCCGCTGACTTCCTCGGCGTGATGTCCCCCGGATTGCAGTTCCGTGCAAACCACCAGCCCAGGAGGTTCTTCGCGTTGCGATCATCATGTGTCCCACCTGAGTAGTTGCGTGGTGTCTTGAACAAGAGTCCTGGGTCTTGAAAGTGGAGTGACGCGACTCTGAGGAAGGAGAATAAGTAAGATACGCTCTTCGAAAAAGGGATCACCGGAGTCCTGCGCCGCGAAGCTGAAGTACAAAGTTTTCAGCCGCCTCATCCCAGGTGGGTCCATCGACGTGGCGAATAATGCCGCGTCGGGTACTGTACTTCCCAGTCGCTGTGTTTGAATAGCAGTTGACTTCCTGGCCCGAGAAAATCCCGCGGCCTCCTCGTTATGCAGAGCAGCGAGCCGCCGCGTCGCTGGGTGTGGTCTCCTCTCTCCTTCTCTTCTCTCTGGAGTAGATTCGCGGGTTTTGTTTGTTCCTGTGGCCCAGTTGCGCGACCCGCCGCCGTCGGAGGCGGCACTTGATTACGTCCCTGCAGCATCCGACGGACGCTTGTTTTCAGAGATGAGCTTTGAATCCCTGCTGCTGCTGCTGACCCCTTCGTGTCTGTCCAATCTGTAGAAAACTCAAGAGCTTGTCGAGTCGCAGTCAGGATGTTTCAGGAAATTTGGTCATTTTTTTCTTCTTGTAATGGAGTCTTTTGGGTACACGAATTCGCGATTGTAGAAGCCGCCAAACCACGACGGTTTCGACGATCAATGACGAGATTCGAGAAAAGCCTTTTATTTATTTATGCAGGATTTATTTTTATCACAGCGTTGACCCGGACAAATTCTTGCTCTCCGAAGTAAAATTTTTTGAAAATTTTCCCATTTCAAATCAAATGACACTGACTTCGTCTAGATTTAAAACGTAGTCGCTGAAAATTTTTGTCGATAATTTGAAATATCGCTGGCACTTCGACCACCCATGATTTTTCCTTCGCTGATTTCGTACGTTCCAGTTTCAAGGCAAAATAATCACGAATAAATAGAAGTGGCCAAATAGTCATGGTTTGTTTCGTCAGCGTTTATTTTTCCGTTTCGTCGATCGTTGCAAGATTCAGCAATCTCTTTATTGGTCGACTTTCTTAATATCGATCAGCGCGAGTCCGAAAAGAAGTACTGTACAGTAAAGTATTACTTTTAAAAACAAGATCGTATGAGAGGAGCTCCAGGACTGTACTTGAGAATTCATGGAAGCTTTCATTTAATCGCGTGAGTAGGAAAGTTGCATTAGGCCGAGGAAGTTACTGTGAACGACGTTTTTTCCATGAAGTTTCCATCTGAAATACTGTACTGTATTATCTAGTGAGGTCAATTATACAAGTACCCTTCCCATGGGACGTTTCTATACTTCACAAGGCCAACATTTGCGTCATGCATTGGAATTAAATCGCACTAGTTTTTAATGCTCACTGAAGCGCATAATTTCGTGAGTGCAATATTTTTTTTTCTGGCGGAAGTTCGCTGTCCATGGCGGCCTTGTAATATCTCTGATGTGTGATTTATCATCGGATGCTCGAAAAGTTGCATGCGGTCAAAATTTCCAGTGTTGTGAACAAATCCGATTGCATTGTATTTCAAGAGGACCGTGTTACAAACGAAGATGAGATAATTCAGAGAAAATCAAGCTATGGAATCGCATGCTGCTCTTATTTCGCTCTTCGTTTTTCAGTAAAACAGGAAAATTCTCTCTGTAGTCTCGAGAAATTTCAAACTGTCATTATCAAGTACTGACTGTGCGAGTCTTTACTTTTAACATGAAAATGTACAACTTCTGCGGGTACTTATTTCCATTGATCCTGGCATTTTTATCAAGAAATAATGTTTATTGAGATCGTGGTTGGCTGAGAATGACGGTTCTTGTTGGCGCGTTTTAACTCGGGAACGTTCGTTCTGCGTTTTCACGCAGACTTGCTCTGCTTGTTGAGTGGAAGAACGCAGAATGCTACTTCCTGTTATTTCCTAGGCTGAATACATAATTTTGAAGAACAGTCATGTGGTTGGATGCAAAAGGAGGACACGGTAGAGAGGAAGCTTTCGGTTTGTGAGGCATTTCTTGGGCAACACCTCGTTGGCATACCGTGAGGTCTCGCTGAAGAGGAGGGTCGCAGGTGCAAATGAGCCGAGTCCCGGTACGACATCCGGCCGGAAGGCTGATGTGAAGAAGGCTTTTGGCGGATATAACATAAATGCGCGGCGTTGACGATGACTGTGCTGTGGAATCGGATTTTCGCATTACGGGACGTGAGATCTGAGGGGTGGTGTCGAAAAACAAGCGGAAAATCCTGCGTAAACTGCATCAAAAGCGTCGTGTAGGTTGCGGGGTTTTCATAAACATCGTGGGTTTTTTTGTTGTTCCATTGTTCGTAAACTTTTTCGGTTTGCTCGAGATGCAGTTTTGGCGCGTGTCTGGAGGTTTGCCTTTCTGGTGCGTTACTCTTATTGGCAAGGATGACGTTAGCTAGGATGGCGACGGTTATGTGCAGTTCTTACCCGCAAATAACCAGCATCTGTTTTCCACGTTACTTTGAATTAGTTCGTGGGGGTAGTTTAAGATGTACAGTATGATCAAATTGAGCAATAACGCTGGGAATTTAGGATATTCTTGAACCAGAGTGGGAAAAAAAAACAAGCATTTTTCGGGTGAGGCCGAGGCCAAACATATGCTTTATCCACAACTTTGATGCCGGATACTTGGATCCCTTATAACTTAAAGGGCACATGCAACGTGTGAATTAAAAGTTTGAAAGAATCACGTTTTCAAAAATCTAATTTGATTTATGGCATGCTTTGCAGATTTTAATTCAAAACTAACTGCTCAAGTGGAGCAAAGCTTGAAATTCATCGTATAGTATACTTGAAATCCTTCAGTGGTGTGTGAAAAATTTTAAGCTCGCATTTCGTTAAAAATAGAAAGGAAGAAAAATTGACAAAATACGAAATAGTGTCTGGACTGAAGGGCTTTTAATATGATGACGCAAATAGCCATTCCATTTGGAATTGCTTGAAAACGCGTTGTCAGTTTGAAGACGGGTCTAGAAAAAAATGTAAGGCTGATTCCACCCTCCTCATAGCTACGCTCACTAGTATTTCTCTTCTCCCTTTCAATTACTGTCACGGTTAATTATCCTCGGGATCTAAACCGGAGCTTCCGGCGCAAGTAGTCATAAACAACCTTCCCCTACTCTGAAGAACTGAGCTTCTGAGATCGGGAGTGACCCTCGATACACTTCTCAAAAATGGAATGTGTCGCTTTCTACCCAGGCAATAGTTTGAATGCCTCGAAATCAGGAACATTCCGAAAATTTTCAAGAATGAAACTGGAACGATCGTAAATCGGCATCAAGCTCAGAAATCAAGCGCCAAGAATAATAAATAATCTTGAATACTGAAAATAATTGAGTTTGTTGAATGTATATTGTTGTTTGTAAGAGCGGTTGGTTATCTACGTTTTGTTTCCTTGAGTCAAGTTTACTGTCAGGTTGGGAAATTGTTTGACCGCCTTTTAAACGACCAAGACGCTGAATTTAGTCTTGATTTATCGATTAAGTTTAATTTTGATGTAACATTTTTATATTTTGAACTGTCCATTCGCCGGAAACCAGGCTCTGGCGAAGTGCCTTTGTTTTGTGAGCATAGTAGCATTGAAACTTCGATGCTCTAAATCTGAATTTCGAAGGCTGAATCTGTGCCGAAAGAATTGTTAAAATCACGAAATTTGACGCATTAATTTTCATTTTTGCTGAACAAACTGATGGTTTGGGCTTTTTTCAATTCATGCGCAAACTTTTTGAAAATCGGGAACTTCCCTTTTTCTTGGTGGTTTTGTTCCGAAAGTTAGAACGAAGAAACGATGAATTAGCTTCGCTGTATTAGATTTAAACCATACCGTCAATTTTTAATTACTTTTCATGTGCCAACCTCTACCGCCCCGAACCACTGCAGTACCTTAAAGATACCACAAAAGGGTGTACAGTACTGTATACACTATATAGTATCTTGATCCCGATGCTGAATTCTGTGTATAATTTTTTGGCTCGCATTTGAAACCCCGTTTCAAGAAAATTCCGTTGCGTGGGTCGGTTTGTGATATGTGTCAGTAGGAAAGATTTTACCGGATGCGAATAATTGTCGGGAGTACTATTCGCCCGGCACCGGAAACTGGTGCGACAGGGTCGTGTTAATTGAACTTTACGCCTTACCGAGTTGTTTAGCCGACGGGCGACGGGAATCCCTCATCAGCTCCCTTGCAAGGGAACAGGATAGTGGTGATTCAAACGCCTTGAATGCTGTAATTAATTTATATCGATCTGTGTGCGTCTCGCATAATCAGATGTTCGGTGCGCATCGTTAGCGAACGTGTGTATTCGCCGTTTTTTTTCTTCCTCCATTTTTCTCTCTGCTTTTTGTGTGTGTTGTTGAAGTGGTACCCTGGGGTCTGATTTCTCCCTCTTCCTGAGAGCTTCCGGTGGCAGAATGGCGGGGTAGAGAAATGAAGCCCCGGGGCTGTTGCTTGGCAGACCGAAGCGTGGTTCATGTTGCACTAGCCACATCATCGGTACGGTGTGGGAGAAACTACGGCCCTCCCGATGCTTAATTGTCTTTTTTTCTCCTCTCGCTGAAAAGCTGAGTTTCCGGTTGGTGTGATGTTTGGATTTCTGACTTGCTAGATACAGATCTGTCCTTGCCCTTTTTTCTCTGGGTAGGGGGTGGTTCACTTCCGACTTGCATCGTAATTCATGCCTCCCTAAGCGACGTTTTCCCACACTGAGTCGCCCGAGTTCTTTCATTTTTTTGGGTTGCTTCGTCCTGCGGGCCTGTAACTATTGTCATCCCGCGAGGGCCATTTTTCCCACCTCAACCTCGCATTCTCGGGAGAGCATTTGCATTCGGGCGTATTTTCTCAGCTGCTGTTGCATCTTCTCGACTTCCCGCGTATCGTATTTACTCAAGCATGGGCCGCAACCCCCTCCTGCCGAACACATCGAGCTGAAACTCCGCAATTGTTGAGATATTCGAAAATAGGCCGCAGTGACTAGACGGTCCGTCACGTAGTTGAGGACAAGTAGAGATTAAAATATCGAAGGGAAATATGACGGAAGAAAACCTCGCAATGGAAAAATTACCAAGGAGACCTCCTTTTCCCCTTCCATTTTTTTTGCCAAGTTATTTGAGTGTTGCATTTTGAAAAAGTCCATCACATGGTTTTTGTCCTGTACTGTAGAATTTGACTTTGTTTCACAGTTCGCATACCAAATGTATAGCATTCACACGTTTACTTTATTCCCTCTCGTAAGACGCGCACCCAGATTTTGGCAAATAGTTATTTTCAACAAAGCCACTTGCTATCATCTTCGTGTGTGACGGGCACTCGGTTTTTATGGCCAAATGTGCCACAAAAAAAGTAGCGCCGAGTTCTAGAGTATTACTGTGGCCTGAGTAAATTTACTCAAGTTATTCTTCGAGCGGCTTTCTGAAGTCAGGGTGCGGCCTACACCTGCGTGTGGCCTATAATCGCGTATTCGCTCGTTGCGAGGCGATGCCTGCCTGACCTTTCGTTGACACAAGCAGCCCACGAAGGAAATCAAAACTCTCGTTAGAACTCATCTCGACGGGTTGTCCGCGCACACTGCAACGAAATTGGCCATGAATGAATTAGGAAACCTGACGGCGGCGTTACAATCCCCCGTGCGTCCCGCAGGTAAAGCCTGGCATTCGCTGAGAATTTCCGGTCGGGGGCAGGTGGCGAATGCCCGTAAGCTTCTTCCCCACTGTGCTGGCGTTGAAAAGGGGGAATTCGGGTACCCATTCGTCGACTTGAGGCCGACACTGTGGGCACGTTTTTTCTCGTCGATCGCCGTGATCGCCCTGGCGCTCATTTATGCGCGGCCATGGAGGAAAGGTGAAGAAGAATCACCAGTTCCGGCGAGCAAGCGTTTTTTCTTTCTTTCAAGAGCTTTTGAAGAAATTGGATCATGCAAAAATTCGAATGTTCACACGGTCAGGAAGGGAAGAATCCCGTGGTTTACATTTTCTAACTGCATTACTTCGCCGAGTACCCGAATGTTCTGTTTGAGTTTGACATGTTTATGAGGCATCTAACTAATTTGTATCCCTGCAAAAAAGAAAAAAAATTCCATCGGAGCAGAAGTCAACCTCAATTTCAGGACTTCTTCTGGAAAAACCGGTGAATTTTCAATGAAAACCGGGTCATACCCCAAGCAATCAATAATAACCCAAAATAGTTATCAAGTACATATTTTACCTCTTGATTTCCCTAATGACATTTTAAAAGGTGGTAATAATGTACGGAATAACATGAGTTTTTTGCCGTACGATGAAAGCTTTTGTTAGTTATCTTATTTGTGTAAGATGGTGAAATCCGTGATAATTGAAACTTATTTTCGCCTTCATCATAGCGTAATCTGGATTTGCTATGGAATCTAGTCTAATTCTCCTGAGAATCTCCTTTTCTGCTGGCAAATATGGACGAATTATATTCTTCGACGATGTTGACATTCGAACAGGACAAGGATTTTCGAATCAATATAATTTCTCGATTATTTTCTTTCCCTTTGATTATTCTCGAAAAAAATGTTGATAACGAAGCGAAACTGCGCCAATATCCTCTTCAGCACGAAGGTTGGAAATTTCGAATTTCTAGTGTTAGAATTCAATCTTGGGGTAGATGGATGACGTTCGGGAAAAATACGCGCGTCAAAGCGCATTTGTCTTCTCTCTTCCCAGCGATGGCAAGGAAAAAGATGAACCCTGGTGAGGAAAACACGTCAGCATTCAGGTCATTTTGAAACAGCCAGGATGGTGGCAGGTCTTCTTCAGCAGCTCAGATTCTTTAGAATTCTCCCATTATGACGTGACGAATAGTCGACGACGGGGGTTTGGGAGCGCGACGCCGGGGATGTTGGCACTCGGCGGGAAGGATGAATGCGCAGGGTCCCACGGGGTTCCTTCGGAAGCAGCTGATTCTTCTCGGGTTACCGCGCAACCTGTCCTCCCTTCCTTCCGGTTGTATTTTCTGAAAGAGAGGAATTTCTCCCCTCTCGCGCATGTGTGCGTGCTATATGATCTACCCCGGCCCGCGGGGGGCGGAAAAAGCAGGCGCAGGTTGCCCGGCGAGGTGTTCATCAATGCGCCTAGCTGCGCAGAACGGATTTGATGAGTACTTCATTCCGGCGAGTAATTGCCCCTCCTGTTCCTTGGGTCCGGCTGGGAATCGGAGTTGAACGAATTGCGTGCGTCTTGGCGTTCCGCTGATGAAAAGCGCGACAATATTCCACGGATTCCCTCGATGACCGCCGACGACATTATCGGAGAACTGTGACACACGAACCCTCGTTTTTTTCGACATTTTTGTGGTGTCTTTCGTAAACTTCCACGTATTAGTCCCGTCTGGTATGAGGGAATGAAACTCGACGAGCTGGTTTTTATTGTCCTTTAATTGCGCTTTTGACCACGTTCATCCACCTTCATGGTGGTTTGAAGTGCGTAATGTACTTCCTCGAGGCGACTGAAATCTGCGTCACACGTGACGTCACTTGAGAGTTCTTCCGTGGCGTCATCGAACACGTTTTGAGTGAACTCGTAGGTCTCCCTTTTTTCTCTTGCTGCTTTTGCTTGTCGAGATTCTTAGATACGATGCATGGAATCGTTTTCTTGTGCAGAAATTCATCAGCGTTTCTTTGTATGAATTTATACGACTCAATGACACATCACGCTTAGATCACTTGATTTCAGTTCTGATTCGGTGTCAAGAACATTTTGATCTATCTCGAGTGTAGATTTCCTGCGCCTCTCTGGATATCTCCGGAAACTTCGTTTTATAAAGCTTATTTCTGTATAGGATTGACCTGCGTCTGTCTTCGTAATTCGGACGGTCATATTTTGCGTCGCATAGAATTCTTTTTTTTCCTCGTAGTCAATCGTTTCTCGGCGAAGGCATTGACCCCGTTCGTTGAAGAAACTGCGTAGATGCGCGTGCGCACTCTCGAATAATTTTTGATGGTGATTTGCCAGGTTCTGCTTGTGTTCATTATTATGTTGATTTGTTTCAGCTTAGTGGGTCTTGGTTTAGCGTTACGGATTGGTGAATCTAGGATTCCTTTCTTCGAAGAATTGATAGATTATCGAACGAAGAGAAAACCGAATTTGTGCTGTTGTGACATTTCCGCCGCGTATCTTATTTGAAGCGATGAATGCGCGCTGGAATTTCATTTGCGTGTATTTCTTCGTGAATTCGGAAGAAAATATCTTTCGGAGCGCGAAGAATGAATCTGATGAAATGGGGATTTTTTCAGGGGAAATTTGTAACAAGTCCCAGCACAGAGAATATGCTTGAAACTGTTCGCAGTTTCCTCGGCCGTATTTACTCGATTCTACCCCCCAAATGGCCCAAATCGTAATTTCGAGGTAATGTGAAATTTGCAAGAACAGTCGGTACGAACACGTGTACCCATTAAAACTATATAAAAGTTATCCTCCCCATCTTCGGAAGTCCCTCATTCTCAGTACGTGTTGACCTTAAAATGGAGTTTTTAATGCTTGATTTTTTGGCTCAACATATTCTCATACTGCAATTCGAACGCCGCATTTCCTTGGTCCCAAAGTTCAATTTTGAGACCAAATTCAGGATAGTAAATTGAAAGTGTCAATTTACCTGTAGTCTCTACAGCACATTTGCGCCCTTACGATTGGCCGCACTTATTTTGATTTTGATGAGAAGACCCCGAAAATTACGTATTGGGTCAATGCTTGAAATACAGTAATGAAATAGCACGCTTTAGTCTGACTTGGTTCCCACCAGAATTCAAATCGTCGGTGCCCTATGATTTATCTGTTCTCCCTCTTTTTGAAAAATGTAAATTGGCGAATTTCTTCGATTTTTATCCTCATAGGCTCCGAAAATGTGAAAAAATTTTCACAATTGTTTGCGTCCTTATCCCCCCAGCCGTGCTATTGTTGCTGAAGTACGCCGAATTGAATGGGAATGTTTTGTTGTTTCCGTAGGTTATGGGTCTTGCATGACGGGGATCGGCGAAGTTCACGGGTCTGGTGGAAACCCGGCTGTGAACGGGGATGGATTCAACATGTCCCAGCACAGCGGGTTCGACGGGGCGCCAGAGGCCGAGTACTCCAACACTGCGTACCTCAACGGAGGACCTGGGTCCAACGGGCCCGGGTCAGCCGAGGGCTACTACGGCAGTCCCCAGGCCCCATCGGGCCAACACGCCCCGTCGCATCACCATCCGCACTTCATATCCGCGCCCCCTGCTACACATGCACACTACCTCAAGGGACAAGGACACGTTCACCCGTCCATCATGCCTCGTGGTGAGCTACTCCCTGATTCCCGTGATTTTTGTTTTTATCAGACTCTGCGCCAGCCTTCACGGTGCGCAGTTTTCATACCCTCTCATCAAGCTGTAGTCGGGGACATGTTCGATTCATTGCCTGCACTTCGTGCTTGTCGGCCGTTTATCTTTTCCAAAATCGAATTCTCTCCTTCCGTGTTTCTGAGCTAAGCGAGTAATGTACAGTGCAGTCGAGTACAGTATACGGTAGCAGAAACGCGCACTCAACGGAATGACCTTCCCACTGCTCAACTTGAGTTTCTGGCGTTTGTTGGGAAAAATCTTTTAATGACGCCCACCGAGAATTTCCCACGACTGGATATTCGAAGGAAAACAAAACTAACCTCCGTAGCAAGTATTGATAAAAGCACGAATAAAAAAAATAAGTCACTTGACGCAGTCAGGGTTCCGTGTGAAAGGAATTTCCGTAAGATGATGAGCACGATTCAAGTTGAGTTGTGTAATTAGTATCCAGCTTTAGAGATTTAGATCAACGAGAACCAAACAAAATTCTACATTTATCGAATGCTCTGGAACGCGTATGGAAACAAACTTGGATTCTTCAATTTTATTTCTCTGAATGGAGTAGATTAGTTTACCATATCATGAATTTTAGCATACCACCTCGCTTACTTTGCTGTACTTACATGTGAGCAAAAATGTAACTTCTAAAGTTTCTGGGGAGGAGAGCGAGTTTATTTGGTACTGAGAATAAACTGAGAATTCCCGAGAAGCTTAATTTGTATTGTTGCTCGTGTCTCCTTTTTAAAAGTTCGGTTACTGTATACAGTACTGTTCCTTCTGAAGTTTCCGCCGATATTGCGTTTTTTTTTTATACGGCTGATTGGAAACTACTTGACGTAAATGTACTAAACCGCATTTTTTCCTCACGATCCATTTTTTGAGCTGCTGTATAAATTGTGGAGACGACCAGTTTAATTCAGTAATTTCGATGATTTTCAAATTAAGTGGTTCATTTAATACGTTCGAGAGGAATGTTGTAGTTGTCGACCCTCATCTTCGGTTCTCCATGTTATTTGAAAGAATTGATTGACACCCGATGTGTCTTAGGTTGAATGTTGATATTAAGGATGATCACACTATTTTTCCTAATCGCATCATTATTGGGAGTTAATTGCTGTTATTTTGGTAAGATCTGTTTGAGTTGATGAATGAAGACGGACCTCATTGAAAGCATCTTGATAATTGAAAACAGGTTCGGCGGTGATGTTAATGAATTATTTTGATGTTCGATTCCAGAAGGCAGATTTAGTTTACCTGATGGTTACCACACCGATGGAAGTCTGAACGGGTTCCAACCGGACCCGTGGGGCGGAAACCCAGCCTATCTGCACGGGCGCGAAGTGCCGAACGGACCCGGTGGACACCACATGGATGTGCTCGGGCATCCCCCGGATTCGACGCAGTCGATCGGCGGAGACGTGAAACCCACTCTTACACCTGTCATGCTGAGCGGGTACAACGGTGAGAGCTCCTCAGCGGCGGAAGTTCGTGGGAACGCTCATAACAATTCCTTTCGCTCGGGGGGCGTTTTTGCAGGAAATGGCATGAACGGACCGTGTTTCACGGGCTCTGGCCCGATCCAGCTCTGGCAGTTTCTGCTCGAGCTACTGACCGACAAAAGTTGCCAAAGCTTCATTTCGTGGACCGGTGATGGCTGGGAGTTCAAGCTGACCGACCCAGACGAAGTCGCGCGACGATGGGGCTTGCGCAAGAACAAGCCCAAGATGAATTACGAGAAGCTCTCTCGGGGTTTGCGTTATTACTACGACAAACACATCATCCACAAGACAGCCGGCAAACGCTACGTTTACAGATTTGTCTGTGAATTGCAGAATCTCCTAGGGTAAGTCCACTCGAGATGATCCTTACTTTGCCTTGTCGTCCTCTTTCCTGCTGCGGAAAATGCCCGCGTTCTTGCTTGAGAACGGCATCTACCTCTTCTTTCTGCATATACACGAGGGACCACGAACGAAACACACTGTGTATTGTTCGGTGCTGTTTTCAACCTGTAAATTTAACCATCCTGTCAGATTCTCTCGCAGTATCCGCATCGAATTTCACGCGTAAATGGCGCCCGGACGTTTCATTATTTCCGGAAAAGGGGGGGGGGAGAATTTCATTCATCGAAGATAGTGCACCTGTAAAAAAGAGGCTTTCACCCGGGGTTCACTAGGGATCCAAGGCGGCCCCCTCTCCTCCCCCGAAAAAGTTGAATGAAACCGAAAAATATAATATAAAAAATCATAATCCATTGTCTTTGTGCGTGGAGGAGATGTACGTGCTCAGAAAGTACGATGCGCATAATAAAAATGGAAGTACTGCAGGACTCTCACTATATTTCGGGGAGAAAAGTAGTTCGTCGAGAGGTTTACAAACTCCCGAGGAAAAAGTGTTTCGTAGAGTAGTATGCACAAAATCAGTAAAATACGAATTCTATCGCTTTTGATGTTTGATTCCACAAGCTGAAAATTTCATAAATAAAATAGGATTCCAATCGTTTTTGTGAAGAAAAAAAAGTCTGAGCTTCTCGTTCAATTCCGCGTTTCCCCTTGGTTTTTTGCCGTCAGTCATACGGAATGATGAAGCAGTCTGAAATTCGGATTAAGTTTACCTCCTAGTTGAACAGCGTCTACATGGAAGCATTTCAAGCTGCATGCAGAGCAATGAAATGTGATAGATGAAGGGAATAACGGAGAATGAGGGGGTTTTCTCTTAAAATATGTCTTTTCCGAGTGCGGTACTCGGGAGGGGGGGGGGGGAAGTAGTGATTTATTATTATTTTTTGCATGGAGCAACCGACGTGGATTGCGTTTGTTCCGTCTGAAAACATCGGATTGTTGTTCTCTGCGTGGTTTTGCAATTCGATGTTGCCACTTGCCCTTGTGCCAGTCGGCTGGAGCCGCGTGGTTGAAAGTAAGTGGAGGACTGGGCTGGCGCATTTGATCCAGGGCGGGGTGCTGCAAACTGCATTATCTCGTGTGAACTGACTATGCGCAACTTGCGCGAGGGAGTGAAGGGCGCTTTAAAGTTGAGCATGAGCTTCGCGACTGGCCAGGGGACTGACTGATTCACCAGGGAATTGCATCGTGTGCCAATGAAAGTTGTGCATCGGAATGCTGGATCGATATATATACAATATATATATATATATATATATTATATCCCTTGTTCCCCAGTCAGGATTAATTGCGGCGCGTGATGCCAAATCACGGTTGCGGCGTGAATGCTGCAGTTGACTGCGCTCAGGGCCCTTGGTTAAATACTGATACGTTCGAGATCCATGATGTTGATGGATATGGCCGGCTGCTCTGGTTGATTATTCTCGGCTATTTCCCGTCGCCGTGCCGCGGCAATACCTGCTGATGAATGGATCAGGCGTGCGTTGGGCCTCTCAGGCAAAAGCCATGATTGTTCCTTCGCCTTGACTATCTGCTTTTGTTATGGACGCCTTGATGCGCTTGGTCAATCAATTGTGGAGCGATAATGCGCGCGGGGTTGTGTTCCCCCCCTCCCATGTGAAAAAGGCCTCTGTGAACTTCGCACCGGATGGCGAGTTTATGGTTGTCGGTGATGATTGCGTCCCGGTGGACTTTTTACAAAGTTCCGTCTAAGAAATACCCGCTGGCGTTGCCGCTTTTTTCGCTGTGCAGTACAGTATTTGCGCTTTCATTCCCCGCGCGGAGGAATCCGTTCTGGTACATTCAATGGCCCATGATGTGCAATTTTCAGATTGAACACGTCTTCCCGGTTTGTTTTTTCCTTCTTCTCTTGCAAAACCGGGTTCGTCATCGGCGACCGGAAATATTTGGGTTTTCGTTTTCAAGAGTACTTTATAGTGATGTTTTTTTTTCGATTATAGAAAGAACTTCAATTCCCACGAATGCCCTGTAACATTTCATGCTCGATTTATGAAGTTTGGTCAGAATTTTAGTTTTCTTGAAAAATCACTTGAAAGATACAGGTTTGGATTCTACTCGAAGTAATCGTGATATTTTGGGTTTTCCACATGGAACAAGAACTACAAAATGTAAAAATGTGTGCACATGAATGGAAGAATCGTGAGCCTTTCCACGGAAATAGTTGCCAAGTGAAGAAAACATTACGAGATGCCATTATTTTCACAGTATTCACGCAAGTGCCTCGGGCAGTTTTTTCTCGATGAATCAGGACAACATTTTGGTTGCACGTTATAGTCTGGTACAATTTTTCAAGATAAATTTCTGCACACCTGGGTGCGCGTCTTGATTGAATCTTAATGGATGAATTGGCACAAAATCCTTTTTTTTAGGAAGTACAATCGAGAAGATAAATATTACTCATTTGAACCATTTATAATAATAAAAAAATTAACCTAAGCATGACCCAGGAGACGGTGCCTTTTTTATTCCAATTTGTTTTGGTTAAAATGCTGAAATTCAACTTCGCACACTGCAAAGTATTTAATGGCTTTTAATGCTTCTATGGTCCATGTAAAACCAGAACGCCGAAGTTGAATTCAATTTTCTAATTGAGCCTGAATTAGATTTTCAACTCATGTTATAGATTTTTGCGAGTGAAAACGAAGGTGCCTATTTTATGCGGGGATACAATTTTATCCGAAATTTAGCTCGAATATTAAGTCTGCCTCTTACCCGAGGTTGCATGATACTCTGGTAAATACTTCATTCATCTGACACCTACATTGCGTTTGAAAGGGATGTCAATTTAGCTTACTGCTCTATACGAAGTTCTGAACAAACTTCCTGTACGAGTTTTATTCATTCCGATGGAAAAAATTTGCAATGGATGATTTAAAGAGTTCAATGAATCCTGCAATGCATTCTTCAGTATTGTCCCGAAGTTCGAGGCCTGTCCAGTTTCTCTTTTCAAGTTGGTTAACGAAATGGCAGATCAGAATGTCGAAGTCGTGATCCTTTTCATTAATATTCGATGTTTTTTTTTTAAAGGCACGATAATGTGCGTGTCTTGAATTAAATGAATGAATTAGTGCTCGGGGGTTCTGTGAACGGGCTGTGTCGAGGTAAATTAATAAGGTGGGGGAACTTCTTCGTGACCCTCGCGCTTTCACCGTTGATGATGTGGCCCACTTGGGCTCGATTTGACCGCTGCTACTTGAAATTCGGAGTAGGAATCGAGGGATGCGCTCTTCATTTGCGGTACGATTTCCTGCGATTTCCGAGCACTGGAACGTGACGCTTTCCATCTCAGGCGTCGGGGCTTGTCGAGAAGCAGGGGGATGTCCATTAACTAGTGGAAAATCTGGCCCGATTTCTTAAAAGTGGCGCTAGTCTAGTCCGACAAACAACCGGGGAAGTTCCCTTCAATCCCGCGGCTCAATATTTCCTTGCCGCGATAAGTTGGCTTCTGAACATCGCGCATCTTATCCTCTTCCGTCTGCACTCGTTCGCAGTTGCTTGCGCTTCGCACGCTTTGCGCTGGGAAGCGTCAATAGAAATCTCCTTGACTATTTCCTGCCGTGGGTTCTTCTCAAGCTTTTCGGCTTTCGCGGCCCTCGGTTTGCTCACGTAACCCTTCTTTGCTGATAAAAGCCCCGAGATTCCTCTGATCCCCGACAAAACGTGCGACACCTCATTTGATGTATTCTGTTTTTATTGTTGTTTCAGGTACTCTGCCGAGGAGATCCATGCAATGGTTGATCTGAAACCGGACAAGAAAGACGACGAATGAACTGATTTGGACGGGAAACAAGGGGGAGTGAGCGTTTTGGTTGCGAAGGGAGCTTTTCGATACGGAAGAAGTTGATTCTTCATTTTTAAAATCTGGTACATGTAACCGACCGAATCGACGATCAAGTTTTCCTTGATCGACAAAGGAAGGTTCGATTTCGCTCGAGTGTTCTTGGTTTTTTGATTTTTTTCATTTTGCATTAATATGCACGGTTTTTATCAGCTGAAAGAAATGTTTTCAGTGTGCGGATCTATAACGTAATTAATGCGCGGTCTTTTGAGGAATTATATTTTGCGAGGAGTATTGATATCGATAGAGTTGCGAGTTGAATTTCATCGGATTTTTCGCACGCACGATTATGGGTTCGATTGTTGGGAGAAATTCGTCCATTTTTTTTTGTTTGTTTCCAACCCTCGGCGGCCTTGCAAGTGTGAAATCTGAGCTTGTGCGAAGTTCACGGTGAGCTTCCTTGATTTTCGATTGTTTCTCGTTGGGGACCAACTAATCGCGCTTCTGTCCCTGTGACGGGCAAATTCCGATTGCTTTATTACGGGAAATATTTTTGTTTTGTCGTGAATTGCGTCCGACGCGCCGTCGGAGTTTAATGAATCGAGTTGACTTCCGAGAACAGAATATTTGCAGGGAAAGTTGAGCATGTTTATTGATGGTTGCTTATGATGACGAGAAGGATTTTTGTGGGGCTCGAGTGAAGAACAATCGTTGAAGCTTGTCCGAAAATATGGTTCACTCGACAGCGGTTTGTGATAGATAAATGCGTTGAAAGACGAAGTCGAATTGTAAGTGGGATCCTGAGTTTCTTGACTACCCAGTTGAGTTCGATTCTGCAAACCGCTCGCGACGATTGCTTTTCTCTTTTTTTTCGGCCCTCAGGATTGATGTTGTGTTTTACTGGGACTGCGGTTTTTCGATTGGAGTAACGAGGTTGAAATATCGCATTGTGCTTGGAGATGGGGAGGGTGTTGGTGTGTTGGGGCAGAGGTGCACGCGTTTTGATGACGCCTTTCTTTCCTGCTGTGCACAGGTCTGTCGCGCAAAATTTCCCCTGCGAGTGAAATCTTTTTCGATCGTTTTCGGTTTGCTGCCTGTTCTGGTTTCTGAGTCAGGCTTCGAATCCTGCGGCGTTCGCTTGTTTCTTGCGAATGTACCTTGGTTTTGTAAAGGTCTTCTTGTGATTTTTGTACAGCGGCAAGGATTCAATTAAAAGTTCGCACTCAAGTTGATTCTGGACATTTTATTTCGCATGCGAATTACGCCAAGTGCTCCTCGCAACTTCACCTCAGTTGATTCTGGCATCGCCGATTTCTTGGTTTGTTGCACTGCATTAGGTTTTCACAAACCACATTACACGTGTTCAACATGGAAAAATTTTCTTTCTTTCCTTGTCTACCCTTCATAGAGAATCTTTATGTTCAGGTAAAGAAAAATCCCATTCTCACAATTCTCACAACACAGTTTCTTTCAGAGTTCCAGCAGTTATTGGTTGAACAAGCTTACAAAGATCTTGATACAGGTGGACTCCCTCTATAACGATTTCCTCTATGTAACAAATTGTTCTGTCTCATGGGGTTCTCTCCCCGTGTAATAGGCGTTCTCTAAAGAAAATTGTAGGCACCACATTTTTCTGGTTTATAGGATTTTGTTGTAGAGAGAGAGAGAGAGTCCACCTAAATTGGTAAATTATTTCCACTTTTAATTTCGGTTCATTGATTTTTTGCTCTGATTTGGTGACTTAGTCCATAGGCATTCAAATGATAATACGCAGAACTTTCTTGTGTCGCATAAGAAGGTCATCAGAAAATAATGAATCCCCAATTATTTTTCAGAAACGTTGCATTGGAGAAAATTTGCAGCAGAACATCCTATTTTCATCATTTTCTCCAGCTTCATTCCAACAGGCGGCAGCAATTCCTCTGGTAAAAGAAAGAAAAAAGCTTTGTCCAACGGCGTTATCTATCGATTCTGAAGAACTTGTCTAAGAATGTATAATCGCTTCTTCCATGTTCATCCCGCTATTTCGGTTTTGATTCACAACCTTAGAGTAAGAACTATAAAATGTAAGGAAATATAAAGTAGGACTTATTGAATACGAGATCAATGCATTTTTGTCGAATTTTTGTATTTCCTTCTGTCACACTGAGCTCATAATACCGAAGTAAAAAGATGTGCAGTAATTTTCTACGGGAGCATACACATTTGCCCATTTCTTCAAAAAATTGCAGGCCTACGTGGACCAAAAATATGGGTGTCCATGTAACAAGTTTTTGACGAAAAAAAGCTCCGCAAATTCCTTGGAGTAAATTTGAGCAATACTTGAGCGAGGACAAACGTAAAGTTTAATTTTATTTGAACGCTACTGTGCATCCCTTGAGGATTACCGTCATAAATAATAATTGTATTTGCACAAAAATAACCTGTCAAATGCTGCATGCGATCTTTGTGTTTAGGCATAAACTCCCCAAATGTGTGTTAGTCCTGGAATGAATAGTTATAGTATCAGCAGAAGTTTCAATTAATGAAAATCTTAATTTAAAATAATATTTACGATTTTAGGTGGATTCAAAAAGTTAAGCACCTGAATAAATGCATTGCCAACGCCCTTGCTGTTTTGATACTTAACAAAAGAAAAGCATGCAATCCCTTTTCTAGGAATAATCAAGTCAACATATTTTTGAAAACTACCTTTGATTGCTACGCCGTTTGGAAAAGATATACGCCTGCTTAATTGCATTCAAGTGAGAGGAAGCAATTGCAAACTTTTTCTTCAGCTTATATGCACTCAGTAAGGCAGATCATCATGTGCACGTGAACTTTCCTTATACAATACAGTACTTATGCACGGGGGACCAGTCACTTTTTTTTTACAAGCATTTTCAATACAGTACAACAGAGCTGTTAACCTGCTATCGAACACGAAGTACGTCAGAGTAGTCAGGACCAAAATAATTTTTGGCCGGAAAAAAGCATTGTAGGTCTATATCTGTAGAAGCCTAGTTGAGCCTTGATTTCCCTAAAATGCTTTTCATTGGAAAAATGTTTAAAATCTTTCATCTGAAATTTGATCAACTTTTCGCTTTCCGTAGAGAATTAAGTTTATTGCATTATTTAAAAAGATATCGCATCTATAATTACTAAAAAGTTTGATTCAGGCTACAAGTGCATAAAAACAATGTCACCTCTAGAAACCCGACTGTTTTCCGCTTTTATTCCTATGTAAATGCATCCTATAATCTGCTTGTTTAACGAAACGTGTACCTGCGCCAAGCTATGAACTACGGCGCGAAACTGCATTTGAGATATACTGTACTGTACTACAATATACTACAATATGATTCAGTTTTGAAGTTAGAAGACCTTTCGCCCGTAAAAAAAATGCAGTACTTTCTGGGCTAAAATTAAATGCATTTCATTACACAGTACACTGTACTTTATATAGACAATATACTGCATATCTGCATTGTGTATTCCATGAAGTATTTGATTCTCTCCTCGAAATCATCGCATGCAAGAAGAGCTGGATTTTAACAGCGACACCTATGTTTCCTTTAAACAAATTCATTTATAAGCCTTAGAGACAGAGGGAAGGTATCGTAAATATCTGGTCAAGCCCACCTGTGGGGCACCCTTGAAGATCTGCTGTTGATATTGTCAAAACAGCTTTGTTTTGCCAAGTTGTCTTTCTTTTAATCCATAAGTAGCGAGCTATGTTTTGGTCATAACTTCCAGCAGCGTAGTTTTTGTGCACACATATTTCCACGTAATCCATTAAAAGTGTAAAATGTTTCATCATATAATGTTCTAAAACAACAATTAGTGTTCATAACGTTCATTGCTTCATTTCTGCGACGTTTCATTTGCTGAAATCATTGAACTGCAACAGATGGAAAATTCTAAAATGCAATACTGTACTGTATGCATGACAAATTCGCTAATGTTAGGGTGGCTTCGAGGAATTATGTTGCAACATATCAATGAAATAGTACTGTTTGGTTAGTAGATGTCGCTAAACGCACATGTTCTGAGTCCATTCGGCATTCTGAATTTCGTAGCGTATTCGAGACACATATCCTCGGCCGTCTGTCACTAAAATATTGCTTCTCGTAATTTTTTTTCCCACTCCTCCTACAATGTTTTATTTTTATCTGCCTCAATTGTCCACAATAAACTAATTTTTTGTCGATGCCACTTCAGTTGGTCTTGGTCATGTACAGCACTTGGAGTTCTTGATGAACGTTCGGGAGTAAATTTTGAGACCCACAGAACAGCGTTTATGCATAGAGCTGTAAAACTTGGAACGGATCGACGCCGTTCAGGAGGAACAGAAATCCGTACGAAACGAAGTCGCTCTCTTTGAAGCACTATTCTACAAAAAGAAAGAGGGATACTGTACTGTACTGTACAGTATTAGCAACCCTCCTCAGTGTCCTCACTATTCTATGGTAAAAGAAACACGTACGCTTTTTGTTTTTGTTCTGGTTCATCCTTTTTTAAATGACATGCGTCTTGTTTATTTCCCACCATGATTTCGTACAGTACAGCCATTGAGACAAAGTAGGGGAATTTCCGAAGACCAGGAGCTGTTTTTTAAAGATTAATTCTGTGTATTCTTCACAAGTTTCTGGCTTTTGTTCTCTGAGATACAGTAATAATTTGTGGCATCTGTGAACTGGACTCATCGCTGTGATTATATTCCGTCAGTTTTGTTCGTTAGATTCGGCATCTACTCTTTTCTTTTATAAAAGCTTGCAGTCATTTTTTGTGTGTCCATGAAATACAGTAACTACAAATAAAATGGAAGATTGTAAATTGTTTATTGCAGCAAAGGGCATTTCCTCTCTCTCTCTCTCTCTCTCTCTCTCTCTTTTATATTGATCACAGATATGTGTCCATGCTTCACAGTGTTGGAGAATGCTATATTATTTTCAGTGCATGTCAGTACGTGTTGTGTTTCTCTCTCCAAGGTTTTTATCCCCATCAACTGGGTATGGTGAAGTAATTTTTCGCTCGTTTTTAGCTTTCCATGCGAAAATTGCAGATTCTGTGTCACTTTTTCTACACCACTGCTTTCTACGTTCTAAAATTGAAAAAAATTGAGCTTCTCGAAAGGCCTGATCCATTTTTTTGCGAACAAGAGAAGTCATGAAATGTTATTGATGTCCTCGGGAAAATTTGATCCTATACCCAGACATTCCAAGGTACTGACAAAGTCTGAGAAGGAATTACTGTATGTCCGAATCCTGAGGACCCGATGTGTTCTCAAAGTCTGATCTGCTTACCTAAGAAATCATCAGCTTGCGTTACTGACAAACCAACCAGGTATAGGATATGGACTTCCACAATTTGATGGAATGTTAGTGTTAAATATCTGGCCTTTCCGCAGAATATTCTCCAGGTAGATATTTTAGTTCGACTATTTTAGATCTTGCGCTGGCAAGGTACCCGGCATCTGTTCCAGATCATATGATCTCATCCTCAATTTCTTGCACATCACGGTCGATGTTAGGGTTTATAAAAATGAAACGTATTTGGTTCTCTTCCCTTCAATTTATAAGCCGTTTCAGAACCATAAAGGCTTTCATAACATTCGTAATTACTTCATGAATGCCGCCCAGTAAGTCGGCTGTCACGTCGTTGTGTTCGGTATGAAACGAGAGTTGCTGATCCGTTGCGCTGTAAAAAATATGACGAGTCCCATCGCGCCGTTCATTACAAAGTTGAATGACTACCATTCAAATTGATACCCGGATCGTAAACGTGTCCCCAGAACGTCCGTTGTCCGCCCTGCAACAACGTCGTTATTTATGTCGCGAGCATGATAAGGAACGAAATGTCGTGGCAATCCGGTAACATCGAAAAACTTTCAAATGCAGCCGACCGCGCAATATTATGGGTTCTTCTTGGTCCACGGAACACGAAACCTTTACATCTTTTCGCGAATTGATGCCTGGTGTCAAAACGGAATCATCTTCGCCGTGTTCGAGATGCGTTAGCGACGAAAGAAATAAATAAGTATAGGCAAAGAATTGGACGCAATTGGTGCATCCGGATCTAAGGTCATCCCCTCAAGACAGTAATGATCGGAATCACGTAAAAATGTTTGTAGCACAGGTATTTTCAACCTTAAAAAAAGGCCAATTGTACCATGTCTGATACTGTACATGACAATGTTTGTGAAACTATACTCTTAAGTGTACGACCAGCAGACCAGGTACCACCAGCAGTG